TATGAGAAAGTGTCATTCGGATACCGTTCATAAGGGCTCTTTCGTTGCATTCATCAAAATACTTGAGTAGATTAATACTATTGAGTGGGAAAATAAATAAACCGAGGAGATAAGAGACGGATCTTACAGGGTAAGGGAGAGGCTAATACGACCAGAATGAAATAGATCGCGGAATGAAGGTGTCAAGATGGATAAACATATCCGGCACAATGGATGAGAATGGTGTGAGATGACCGGCGCAGGGCGTATGTAAGCCTCAATAAAATGCATGTCAGAGTAGGAGTTTAAATTAAGCAAGTAATAATTGGTGGTATTGGATGGGGGGCATAATAGGACGTGGGATAGGCAAATGCCACAAGACATAAGGAGGAAGAGAGAGGAGACTGTTCAGCAGAAAGTGGTTCAAGGCATAGACTTCACTTCTCTCTCGACGAGTTGTTTTTTTGGTGCCAAAACTGATAGTATTCACTGACAATTCCGACTACAATGCCACCTACAATGCTGGATGAAAATATACAAGATCAAACCGCCTCAAACTAACAGGCTCATGATAAGTCCATTAATATTTGAGATAATTTGACTCGGACTTCTCTTACCAAGACAGTAGCTCTTTAATTTAACGAACTCTTATAGTTTCTCTTTAAAGGGCATCAACTTGTCTGAACATGCAAGCTTTAAATAAAAGCTAGGATAGTGAACTAAGTGGGCAACTTATTCTATATTATTATTTATGGGATGTGCAAAGGATAGCTCATAAATTAATATTTTGAATATCTTTGATTAGATCGACAAGATATCTTCAGTGGAATACATATAAAAGTTTTTATGTCATATCCTGCACAGTTTATTAAATTATCTTTGTATCCCATCGATAAAATCAATTATAAATCCCCACCTGTCCTTGTGAGTCCGTGAGATTATCACTAAATCTATATATGAAGCTTGGATTCTTAACATGTTTGAGTTAAAATGCTATGGCAAGCACAGAACATAATACAGAATGTTAGATAATATTTCTAAAGTATCTCTGATCAATTAGAAATGAATCTTGTAATGATACATAATTTTAGACCTTTAAAAATTAAGCAATGTTGGCTAACTTTCAGCCCTCACTCGAATCTACTTAAAAATGATGTGAACCGCATGATATACATTTTAATGAATTCACACATAGTTTTAAAACTAGTTAAACGGAATAAATTATAGGCGCTACATAAACTTGACTATAAATTCTAAAGCTACTTACCATCTGATATGAACCATTTCGAATTGTCTTGTAATTCTGGAATTGAGTTCGGAGATTTTGAGATCATATAGTAACTTTCGGATGGAGTTTGTAATTTATCCAAAGCCTTTAGTTCATGTTCAGTGTCAAATTCCTCCATGATAAGCGTATCGGAAATCGCATCCTTTCCAACGGTCACTTCCAAGTTTCGCTCCAATATCGATGGCATAGCATGAACAATATCGTTTTTCGACTGCAAACCCCCTTCCATTCTCAACAGACCCTCCGAATTCTTTGGCTGTAATTCTGAAAAGTTTTCAGTCTTTCTGTTAATTGACGATTCATCATCAGATCTTTTATATATATTCAATGCATTTGAGATGGGGCATAGTTCATTAATTTCTGTAACAGGGAGCTTTGTGCCTTCAACTGGTTTCGAATAGTTTTCCAATGATTTTACGTTTGAGCTCAGATTTTTTATTTCTAAATAATACCCTGACGATTCTTCATCGTCTCTCGACATCTCTTCTGACATCCTGGACGTTGACTTTGAATCTGATTCCAACTCCTTAATAAGTGAAGATCCATCTTCAGATGTTTTAGGTGCATTAAATGCGTTTGCTTTATTTGAAGGTTGACTAGTTTCAGTCATATTGCTCTTTGTTGCTTCATCTGATTTAGAGTAAAGTTTCTCTGCCTTTGCATTTGGGCATATCCCTGTTGACTCAACGTGATATTTCGAAGATAAATCATGCTTACTTAGACTTTCTGTCGAAGCCCTCGGAACTGGTTCTGAATATAATCCCATCGCTTTCCTGATTAAAGATTTATCCTCAGATGTTTCAGGCACATTAGATTCACTTGCAAAAAGGAAAGAACCGCCCGTTCCCTTCACAGGACTCTTGCTCGTCTCATTTGGTTTT